CTTACGCTAAAGTGATTCTCCAGAGTTCAAGTTACTTATTATAAAAGTTTGAAATTTCTGGTAGCTTTTTTCTGTTAATAAAAATAAATTTAATCTGTTCGGTTAACGAATCTCCATAAAATGACGTGTAAAATTACAATTTTTTAAAATGTCAATAACTTATTAACGGTTTAGAGAATCCATTTGTAATTTTTACAGGAGTTTTAGAACTGAATGAGAAACGTTCTTTCAAATTTTTATTTGTCTTGTAGGATTTTGACATACCTCCTAAACATCCTTAATTCATGCTAGCAAATTGTTTTGCCTCCAATACTTTTTATAAATCTTATAAAAACGTTGACGAGTAATAGTAATAAGTGAGTACACTTTTTCGGTACTGTAATTTTCAGATTGTTTTTCGCGGAAGGGAGGTAGGCAAGGTATACGTATATTTAAGTCGGTTAACCTGTGTGAAACTTGTAATACAAACCGTTCAGTTCAATTCTTATTATTATGACTGTAGGCATGACATGTCAGACTGGCAGCAATTATGGACGGTAATAAATTTCTTGTTTCAGTAAGGCAACAGTCATACCAAGTGCACGGTCATGTTTCAAGTCTCGCTGTTGTGTTCTTGATTCTTAAGGTTTAGACGTGGCATTTTATTGTTTTTTTACTTTTCACGGCACATACAAAAATGTTTTTATACATATTTCATGTGGGTCAGTGGATACTTTACATTTAGATCTGTACGAATGTAAAATATTTTAATAATTGGTAGATTGTTAATTAATTACAACCAAAGACACGAATCATGTACGTTAGTCATGTACTTTGTGTAGAAACAGCTAAATTGTCTTAATAAAACTTCATTTGTAAGAGCGTGTACTGATGTGTTACATTGCGATTACAAGGAAATTATATTTGTATGAATATACAATTAAGAAAACGAGTTATACTTGATCCAGTTACCCAAATAATGTAATTATTATACGCTGTCATGCATGCGTTGCAAGCCTTTTTACAGTTGCCGCCAAAAGATTTCATGTTTCAGTAAAGTTAAGTCAATACAATGTGTAACAAACTTTTTTTGTATTGGCGCAGATTTGCGTACACCTCTTCGATTTTTATGAAATTTTAGTAGGTTCGTCATGTTGATCAAGGATATATATCATTTCTTGAAACTTGGACTTTTGCCAAAGGATGTACACATGATTATGAACTTCATATAATAAAGATATTTTTTTTCACATACCTGTACTGAAATTTTTATAAATAAAAATTAAAAAAGTACGAATGTTCTTAGAATAACCCACGAAAAACACGTCAATTTTAATCGTATGTTTAAAAACACCTGATGTGTATATGTACGTATATTTTGAATATACGAAACGTTAACTTAATTGCGTTAGATGTTGGATACTTAATTATCTGTGCTTTTTAATTATTCATAATATTTATCTCAGCAAGTTAAGTAGATAAATTACGTATACTTACGACCTAATTAATAATACGTAATCGTAGATCCCGTAGCATGTTGTTACTACTGACAAAAAAAATTAATAATAAAGAAAATGCCATTACAATAAAAATCAAAGGGATACGTAAAAAAATGCATCTTACTGTAATATGTTTTTTTTTTAATTGTTTATCAAAGTTTCTCGTCGGCTGGGAATAATACGGCGACGAATTCTTTTTTCAGTATCGTGGTTCACGAAGAATGGTTTAATAACATATTTTAATAAAAAGATATTTTGTATATTTGGGCCTTATTTAGGGTTGAGAAATGATGCAGCGTTCCTTCAACACCTAAAAAAATTGGGAATTAAAAGAAAAAATCATATTCATTTTTGCAACTGTATTCCTGTAATGCGTGCCTATCTTCTAGAAGTTTTAAATAAACAGTTTTTGTATAAAATGCAATAAATAAAATATGCACGACGTCTACTTAAAGATATTGTAGTAAAACACGTATGAATGTACTGTAAATAAAAGATATTTGAACCGTTTAAACCTGCGTCAGTTTAACCTGCCATTTGTAAAGAATGTTATGAGGTTTTTGACACTGCTTTTTAACACATTTTACTTAGGTAACTGTAGAA